AGGGGGTGAGGGGTCCCGGGTGGAGGGGTCCCGGGGAGAGGGGGGTGAGGGGTCCCGGGGAGAGGGGGTGAGGGGTCCCGGAGTGAGGGGTCCCGGGGTGAGGGGTCCCGGGGTGTTGGGGTCCCGGGGTGAGGGGTCCCGGGGTGGAGAGGTCCTGAGGAGAGGGGGTGAGGGGTCCCAGGGTAAGGGGTTCCGGGGTGAGGGGTCCCGGAGTGAGGGGTCCCGGAGTGAGGGGTCCCGGGGTGAGGGGTCCCGGGGTGTTGGGGTCCCGGGGTGAGGGGTCCCGGGGTGGAGAAGTCCTGAGGAGAGGGGGTGAGGGGTCCCAGGGTGAGGGGTCCCGGGGTGAGGGGTCCCGGAGTGAGGGGTCCCGGGGTGAGGGGTCCCGGAGTGAGGGGTCCCGGGGTTAGGGGGTGAGGGGTCCCGGGGTGAGGGGTCCCGAGGTGAGGGGGTGAGGGGTCCCGGGGTGGAGAGGTCCTGAGGAGAGGGGGTGAGGGGTCCCGGGGTGAGGGGTCCCGGGGTGAGGGGGTGAGGGTCCCGGGGTGAGGGTCCCGGGGTGAGGGGGTGAGGGTCCCGGGGTGAGGGTCCCGGGGTGAGGGGGTGAGGGGTCCCGGGGTGAGGGTCCCGGGGTGAGGGTCCCGGGGTGAGGGATCCCCGGGTGGGGGGGGTCCCGGGATGGAGGGGTCCCGGGGTGAGGGGTCTCGAGGTGGGGGTCCCGGGGTGAGGGGTCCCGGGGTGGAGGGGTCCCGGGCCCGGGGGTCCCGGGTGGCGGGTCCCGGCCGCGTCCCCGCGCAGCGCTTGGTGACGGGCAGGTCTTGGCGCAGAGCCCGGAGCTGCTGCTCGCCCCGGAGGGCGGGGCCCGGCTGGCCTCACCGGTCCGAAGCCCGTTCGCAGTCGTTGGCACCACCGGGGGACGCACCCGCACCCGAGGACCCTTGCTCCGTAGAAAAGTCCACGAAGCCTTCCAGAAGCCCACTCGCAGCCCAAGCTCGGCGCCTGCATTTGTCAGGTTTTAAACGGTAAACGTCCCAGCTTGGTGAGCAGCAGTTGCAGCGCCAAAGCACCACCCGGTCTGCAGGCGCAGAGGCGCGGGGCGGCTGGAGAAGGGGTCGCTTCCTCCGCCAGGAGCCCATGGAAGCGGGGACGCGGAAACGGTAGGTGCCTCCTCTGCTCCCCTTTGCATTGCCATCACCAGGGGGTTCAGGGGGCCGGGGAAAGAGTGCATTTCTTTTTCACAGTAGGTAACAATCTTTGTGCTTTGGCACTGCGTTGTTTTGTGTTACAGACTTTACAGACTTTATTGTTCAGTATTTTCATAAACGCTTGTTTAAAACTTAGGACATCCATGGAAGTTTCTTGCATTTGATGAAGTTGTATTCACACACATTCCTATTTAATAAAATGTACTCTGCCTGCATACAATATTTTAAATATAATTTAACAGAAATTTGAGAACTTAACCTTAAAATCATACTCATCTATCTATCAGTTCTCACAAACAATATCAGTTCCTGGCATATTTTTAAAATTTCATCATTAAGTAGCTGTACAAAGAGGTTACAATTCCATAAGTCAGGTTTCGAGTAAACTGCATATTGACAGATATCAACCCTTCCATCGTTCTCCCCCACTCTATACCTTCAAGTTGCATAGTTCAGTTTTTACATAGCATTCATTAAATACGACTGTATTCGGTCACCCTTCCTTCCTCCATTTGTCCCTCCTTTTCCACCCTACTCCAACATGTTTCTACTTCCCCTGATGTTCTTCTGATAAACAGTTCATTAGTTAGTTGCTCAGGGGCATTGTGTTTGGACTCCTCCACTTAGACATGCCATCTTATAGTCAGTTTGTGTGTATATGCATAAAACTACATACATTATATATGTTTGCATTTTAGACCTACCTTCTACATGTGAGCAAAAACATGTGATATACCAAGTGCCAGTGGTTCATGCCTGTAATTCTAGCTACTCAAGAGGATGATATCTGATGATCACAGTTCAAAGCCAACCAGGCAGGAAAGTGCATTGGACTCTTATCGGCAATTAACCACCAGAAAACCAGAACTGGTGCTGTGGTGCAAGTAGTAGAACACTAGCCTTGAGTGAAAAAGCTCAGGGACAGCACCCAGGCCCTGAGTTCAAGACCAATATCCAACAACAAAAAGTGAAGTTTGTCTCTGAGCCTGACTTACTTCATTTAACATAATTTTTTTAGGTCTAATTCCCTGCAAATGATATATCATTGTTCTTTCTAATAGATGAATAGAACTCTTATCTAACTCTCTATCTCTCTATTTCTATCTATATATCTTATTTTCTTGACCCATTCATCTGTTGTAGGGCATCTGGGCTAGTTCTATACCTTGGTTATGTCATGAATATTGCCATAATGAACATGGATGTATAGGTGTCTTTACCATATCCTGACTTGTAACATTCTAGGTAGATGCCCAAAAGTGGTTTCTATATTTCAGGAATCTTCACACTGCCTTCTAGAGTGGTTGCACTAGTTTACATTCCCTCCAACAGTGCCACAGGGTTCCTTTTCCCCCAGAATCCCCACCAAGATTTGTTTGTGTTTGTTTTCTAGATGCTGCCAATCTAACTGGGGTAAGATGAAATCTAAATAGTTATTTTTAAATTTAATTTACTTTTGTCGTAAAGGTGACCTATAGAGGGGTTACAGTTACACAAGTACATTTCTTATCAATGAATACATTTCTTATCAAACAGTACAACTCTCTCCCTCATTTTCTCCCATATAGTTTTGATTTGCATTTTCTTTATGGCTAGGGATGTTGAGCATTTCCTCTATTTAGCGGCCATTTTTCTTCTGAAAAGTCTCTGGCTCCTTTTTTCCATTTATTTTTGGGTTATTAATGGGGGTGGGCAGTTTCTTTAGCTCCTTGTGTATTTTGGATATTAGGCCCTTGTCTCCTTGTGTATTTTGGATATTAGGCACTTGTCAAAGGGCAAAGATCTCCCACATTGTAGGCTGTATTTTTAGCTTAATAACTATGTCTTTTGCTGTACAGACACTTTCCAGTTTGATGCAATCCCATTTTTACATTTCATTGTCAGTTTGTTGAGCCCCCGGAACTCTGCTCAGAAAGTTCTTATCATGGCCTGTGCATTGTGTTCATTGTGTGCCAGTCCTGGGGCTTAAACTCAGATCCTAGGCACTGTTTCTGAGCTGTTCTGCTTAAGGCTATCACTCTACCACTTGAGCCACAGCTCCCCCTCCACCTTTTGGGTGATTAACTGGACATAAGAGTCTCATGGACTTTCCTTCTAGGGCTGGCTTTGAACTGCAGTCCTCAGATCTCAGCCTCCTGAGTAGCTAGGATTAAAGGTGAGGGCCATCAGCACCTGGCTAAAATTCTAGTTTTAAAATAGTTTGCTGCTTTACAAAGTCATTTATTCACAATTTTTTTTTAAAAAAAAGTTGTGGCTTTGGGCTGGGAAGGTGGCTCAGTGGTAGAGTGCTTGCCTTGTATTCATGAAGCCCTGGGTTCGATTCCTCAGCACCACATAAGCAGAAAAGGCCAGAAGTGGCACTGTGGCTAAAGTGGTACAGCACTTGCCTTGAGCTGAAGAGCTCAGGGACAGTGGCTTTCATTATACTACATAATTCATAAAGTACTAGTTCTTTGTTCACAGTTAAAGCACTATTAACTGGAATCTAATGAAACTACATTTTATGGAGTGTTTGCCTTGTGATTTATAGCTTTAAATGAATGCAACCTCCTGTGGTCCAGTTTTCATTTATTGCCCATCCCTGGCTCCTGTTGCTACCAGGGGAAAGAGCTCTTGCACCTGCTACAGATGGTAAATATTTAATTATGTCTTATCTCTAGTATATTTTATTTCATTCTATTGTTTCCCTGATTATAATCTATGGAAATAAGGACCTCATGTCTCTTCTGAGCTAAACGAAACATACAGGCTTCAGAAGATGGTGGGTCTTTAGAAAATAAGAATATATCCCAGTCTAAAACTTTTAAGTCTTGTAATTACCAGTTCTGGAATGGAGTATTATATAAAGACTCTAAATGAAATCACAAACTTTTCTTCATTCTCTCCAATAGATCAAAGAGTGTTAAAACTTTGTAGAAGATACAAGTTTGATTAATTTTTATTATCTGTAAGAAGTTGAGCAAAGGAATTACCGTTTAACCAGGGGTTTTTTTGCTTTTTTTTTTTTTTTGCTTCAGTTCAATCTTACAAAAGGTTAAAGACCTTTATTAGAAAAGGAGAATATTTTGCCATCTAGTTGTCATTTAGCGGGGAATACAGATATATTATTTCTAAACAATTTATAAACAAGACAGTCTGATATTACTTAGCCCTTTATGAGCTATGTATGAGAACAGACTGGTTAGGGGGGGCTGGGAAGGGGTAGCGCGCTTGCCGAGCCTGCGCGAAGCCTTGGGTTCGATTCCTCAGAGCCGCACGCAGGGAAAAGGCCGGAGGCGGCCCTGAGTTCAAGCCCAGGACTGGCAAAAAAGCAGAGGAAAAGGGGGGAAAGAGGATGCCTAGTGGCAGGAGGCAGCACCCGGAGGTCGTCGGGCGGGTGGGGCGGGACCGGGAGGCTCCGGGCTCCTCTCCGGAGGAGCTGGGCCGGGCAGGCGGGAGCGAGGCGCCCGGGGACGCCGCCGGGGACGCCTGCGAGGGCGGCGGGCACTCAGCCGCAGGCCCCGTCGCGCCACGCTTCCGGGAGCGGCCTCGACGCCGCGGCGGCTCACGTGTCAAGGAGGCGCCGGGAACGCGCGCCGCCGTCGGGGCGTTGACGCCCGTGGGCCGGGTCGCGGGGCGATGACGCCGAGGGACGGGACGCGGGGCGATGACGCCATTGGACAGGTCAGGACGTGGGGCGATGACGCCATTGGACAGGACGCGGGGCGAGGACACCGTTGGATGGGACAGGACGTGGGGCGATGACGCTGTTTTACAGAATGTGGGGTGCTGACGCCATTGGACGGGACAGGACGCGGGACGATGACGCCATTGGACAGGACAGGACGCGGGGCTGCGGTGGCGGCCCGCACTCGGCTCACCCCATTTCCGACGCCCCTTGGCGAGCGCAGCAGCCGGCGGCCCGTGGCGGCGCGGCCTGGGGGCTTCCCGGTGCGGCAGGCGGCGGGGGGTGGCGGCCTCCTCCGGGCGCGGCCGGACCGCCACGTGGCCAAGGGCGACAAGGCCGGCCTGGGCGCGTGGGCGCTCCGTGGCTGGGGCCTCGGTTTCCCCGCCGTGGGCGCGTGGGCGCTCCGTGGCTGGGGCCTCGGTTTCCCCGCCGTGGGCGCTCCGTGGCTGGGGCCTCGGTTTCCCCGCCGTGGGCGCTCCGTGGCTGGGGCCTCGGTTTCCCCGCCGTGGACGCCGTGGGGCGCTCCCGTGGCGGGTCTCTAGCGAGGTCGGTGGCTCCGGGGCTCCGTCCCCTCGTCCTTACCGGAGCACCGGCGTCCGCGCCCCACTCCCAAGGGAAAACGCAGCTGCCCACCGCCCTCCAGCGGATGTTTCCTAGTCAAGAAGCGCCCAGTCCGCAGCGGGGAGGGGAGGGAGAGGGGAGGGGAGGGCGTGGGAGGAGGAGGAGGGAGAGGGGAGGAGGAGAGGGCGGGGGAGGGGGCGGGGAGGAGAGGGGGAGGGGCGGGCGCGAGGAGGCGGGGAGGGGAGGCGGGGAGGGGAGGAGGGGAGGGGAGGGAGACGGGATGAATGGGGAGGAGGAAGGGGAGGAGGAGAGGGAGGGGAGGAGGAGGGGAGGAGGGAGACGGGATGAATGGGGAGGAGGGGGGGGGGCGGGGCGGTCGCCGCGTCTCCGTTCCCCGGCAACCGGGCAGCCGCCAATAGCAGCGCGGCGCCTGAGTCACGTGGCCGTTGGCGGCCGGGGACGAGCCCGGCGCGGACCCTCGGGGCCTGCGTCCCGAGCATGGCGTCCGCGGCGGCGGCTTGCACGCGTCGGAGCCCGGACGCGCGGGACGAGGACGAGAACCGTGACTCGGAGGACGCGGACAGCGTCTGGGGCTCGGACACCTCCGCGGGCAGCGGCTCCACGTAAGGGTCTGCGGCCGGGCCGGGCCGGGCCGGGCCGGGCGGGGCGGGCTCGCTGGCCGGAGGTGGGGCCGGGGCTGTGGGGCCGGGCGTGGCGGGGGGGGGGGGGGGGGGCCGGGCGGGGCAGTGGGGCCGGGGCGGGCGGGGCGGGCTCGCTGGCCGGAGGTGGGGCCGGGGCGGTGGGGCCGGGCGGGCGGGGCGGGCTCTGGCCGTGCCGGGCGGGGGGGCCGGGCCGGGCGGGCTCGCTGGCCGGAGGTGGGGCCGAGCCGGGCCGGCGGAGTCCCGTTCTGCAGTGAGGCCTTGTTGTAAGGTGATTTCCGTTTTCCGCCCGCTCCGGGCGCGGACCGGGCCTTCTTGGTCTCGGCGGGCGCTGTGACGGGCGTCCGGAGCGTGCCTGCCCGGGCTGGCTTCGAACCGCGTCCTGAGCAGCTGGGATGGCGGGCGTGCGCCCGCGCCGGGCCGCTCTGTGCGGAGAGCACGCAGGGCTGGTAGCTGGGTCTCGCCGTGGCTCCAGCTGTAGCTTCGCACCCTCTTCTAGCCCGGCCTTGCGTGGCGTGCGCGTGCCCGGCGCTCCCCTTGTTTCCCCCGTGTGCGCGCGCGCATGCGTGCAAAGCCCCGGGGCTGGACGGGGCCTGGGTGCAGTCCTGAGGAGTTTTCTGCTCCCTCTGCACCGTAGGCTTTTGGAGGTTAACTGGAGATGAGCGCGTCGTGGGCATTCCCGCCAGGGTTGGCCTCGGCCCATGGTCCTCAGATAGCAGCCTCTAGAGCACCTAGGGTTAGAGGCGTGAGCCTCGGGATCCTGGCGTTACTCTGCATCTTCAAAGCAACTTGTGTTTCGGACACACGAAATGTGCACTTCTTTTTTTTATTTTTGTTTTTTGTGGGTCGTGGGGCCTGAACTCGGGCCTGGGCGCTGTCCTCAGCTCCTCAGCCCGAGGCCAGCGCGCTCCCGCGGAGCCACCTTCCCAGCGCCTGCACTTCGTTTTACACTAGCCATGTTCTTTCACACCTACAGATTCGTGTACTTGGCTCCTCTGTTTGAGCCTTCTTTCTTCCTGTTTTCACTTGTTAAAATCACTGAGGTCCAACTAAGTGCTTCTTCTAGATCCTTCCCTCATCTCTCTCAGACTTACTTTAGCATCTGTCCTTCTATAGCAGTCTTAATTTCTGCTTCAGAACTTGAATTTTGGCTACTTGATCATGTCTTTTTCTGGGTTTTATTTTTTAGGCGATCGATGGGTGGGTGGCACTGGGGCTACTTGCGTTTGGAGTTCTCTCTTACTCTCTCCAACTCACTCCTTCACCACTTGTGTTTACCACTGTTACTATTATTTGCTACAGCTGAGTGCCATCCTCCAATATCCATCCCATCAGCTCCATGGATCTTTGAATTATATCCAAAAGGTTGTCTTCTATTCAAATTTCAGGATTTAAGTGAGCTATTTATTTATTTACTTATTTAGTCGGTCATGGAGCTTGAACTCTGAGCCTGGGCACTGTCCCTGAGCTCTTCAGCTCAAGGCTAGCGCTCTACCACTTGAGCCACAGCGCCACTTCCGGTTTTCTGAGTGGTTTATTGGACATAAGAGTCTCATGGATTTTCCTGCCCGGGCTGGCTTTGAACCACCATCCTCAGATCTCACCCTTCCTAGTAGCTAGGATTACAGGCCTGAGCCATCGGCTCCCAGCAAGTCAGGTATTTATGTTGAGTAAGTGGAAAAATATTTCTTGGGATTGCTTACTGCTAATACAAACAGCATACCAAACTAAAAGGGTAAAATTATAAAGCAGATAACTATAATCTATTATTTAAATTTGTATGTACCTGTTTTTGTTTTTTGGCTGGTCCTGGGCCTTGAACTCTTAACCTGGGCACTGTCCCTAAGCTCCTTTTGCTCGAGGCTCAAACTGTATCACTTGAGCTACAGGTAAGCATCTCATGGACTTTCCTTCCTGGGATGGTTTCAAACCATGATCCTTACCTCTCAGCCCCCTGAGTAGCTAGGATTACAGATGTGAGCCACTGGCACCTGGCTGTATGTCTCTTGATCCATATAAATTTCTACTTTCAGTCAGCTTTTGATCTTTGTGTAGAAATACCCAGGATAAACAGTGGGAGAGAGGAAGGCTTTATTTCTGCTCTTTCCCTCCCCAAATAGTGTCTGTATTGCACTCATGTCGCTTATTTTTCACATATGAAAACAAAGAATATTTGTCTTTCTCAGTCTGTCTTATTTTGCTTAACGTGACAATGTCTAGTTTGATTTTTAGCTTGAAGAGTCTTCATACTAATTTCCACAGTGGTTGCACTAACTTGTATTTCTACTATCAGTGTATAAGTATTTCCCCTCCCAGTATTTGATGTTTTTTTCTCCATGATTGACATTCTTTCAGGTGTTTTAGTTACATTTCCTTCAAGGATGTTGACTTTTTAAATGTGTTTATTGGCCATTTGTACTTCTTGGAGAAGTATCTGTTCCAGTCATTTGTCCACTTGCTGGGTTGTTTGTTTCTTTGATGTTAATTTTTTTTTTAGCTCTTTATATATTCTGTATACTCAGTAATAGAGTGTTTCCCTGAGCACAGACACTGAATCATGTGATTCCATAACCTTCTCCCCTACACAGGGAGTGAACTGTTCAGCAGGGAAAATGCTTAAGAGAACTAGGAAGTTCTCTGCCTACCCAGGTAGGACTCAAGCCTCTGTGTGCTCTATTGTCTCGTACATTAATAGGTCATGCCTAGACTTGGAGGCTTGATGTCCTCAGATACACAAACTGCAGGGCTCAGCCTGTGAAGTGCCCTGTAGCCAGCATTGGTTCCCAGTACACAAAGAAGGGAAGCTTCTATAGTGAAAGTAGCTCAGAAATGCACAATCAGCCCTTCTATTAGCAATTGATTCTATTAGTGGCTGATCAGGCCCAGTGCTCAGAACAAGAAGGCATAAATACTTGGCAACTGAGCCTAACCCACCCACAGTTGTACAGTTCTTGGAGGTTATATGAGGGAGGGATCTGTAGAATCCAAATGATTGGGAGGATCTGGGCTTGGGGTCCCATGCCTGCCTGCCGCAAACTTACGCAGTTCCCAACATTGTGTCTCCATTCTTCAGGAGTCTACAAAATGCATTTTAAGGAAATGAATTAGAAGCGAAAAGAATTTTAAAAAATCAGATAACTTCCACCCCTTCTGCCTCCTTATCTGTAAAGCTGATCATAACTCCCTAATAAGAGAATAGAACTGTCTTTCTTACATTGGATTGATATTATGGTTATCATTTTTAAATTTTGCATAGTGATTTTGAACCTGAGTGGCTGGACAGTGTGCAAAAAAGTGGTGAGCTGTTTTATTTGGAATTGAGTGAAGATGAAGAAGAAAGCATTTTTCCTGAGACATCGACTGTGAACCATGTCAGATTCAGTGAAAATGAGATTATCATTGAGGAAGATAATTACAAGGAAAGAAAAAAGTATCAACCCAAACTCAAACAGTTTACTAAAATTTTAAAAGGTAAAAGACTTTTACCCAAGTGCTACAATAAAAAAAATAGCAATGATAATGGGCCGGTATCCATTCTAAAGCATCAGTCCCATCAGAAGGCAGGTATCATTGTCCAACAGATGCATAAAGATGTGAATATTTATGTAAATCCCAAAAAATTAACTGTCAGCAAAGCCAAAGAGCAGCTTAAACTTCTGGAAGTACTGTTTGGAATTATCCATCAGAACAAGTGGAGTTGGAGAAGAATTGGAAAACAGGGCAGTGGAGAGAGGCTTGTGGTCCACGGCCTGCTGCCTGGAGGGTCTGCTATGAAGAGTGGCCAGGTGTTAATTGGTAAGTGTGCCTCATGAACATCAGTCCTTGTCTGCAGAGACACATGGTTAATGAGTCCATGTGAAGGACATGATACAAACCAGAATTTATGTATTCTTAACATATTAAGGACTGATAAATATCTGGTATAGTAGTGAAATGGTTACAGATAGTAAACCACAAAGCACAGTGTTCTTAAGATAGCACTTTAGATGGTTGGATACATATGTGAGTTGTCAGGGAACAGCTTAACTAATTTTGATTTGTACAGTTTTGTAACATCTTGGTTATATATTCTGAGAGAGAGAGAGAAAGAAGTTGATTACATAGTGGTAATAATTTGGACTTCAATGATTGTATCAAAAAATAACACAAAATATATAATATATGAATAAGTATACTTTTAAAGTGTATGTACTTGAGTCCAATAATTTCACAGAGTGGTTTGGCATACTTAGCAATAGTGATCATATACATACACTTCCTTTTAAAGGTACATGTCATGAAATATACTACCAATTTTGTGAAAAAAACCCATGAGTTATTTTGATTATATTGATACACTTTGAGCTATTATATATCATGTTTAAGTTAGTAGCATGTGCTTACTTGAAGATAAGCTGATCAAATCTGAGAATACATTTATTAGTGAAACATAAAAGTCAAGCCAGGCTCTGGTGGCTCACGCTTGTAATCCTAGCTTGTAATCCTAGGCTGAGATCTGAGGATCACGGTTCAAAGCTAGCTCAGGTAGGAAAGTCCGTGAGATTCCCATCTCCAATAAACCACCCGAAAACCGGAAGTGGCTCTGTGGCTCAAGTGGTAGAACGCTAGTCTTGAGCTGAAGAGCTAAGGTACAGCACCTAGACCCAGGGTTCAAGCCTCACAACTGACAAAAAAAAAAAGCCACAGTTCTAAAAGCTAATAGTCTTGAGTTAACCCATCTTAGTGGCTTTAGTAGATAGCACTCTTTGTTTGCCTTACTGTAAGTGTAACCCCTCTCTGAATCACCTTTATAATAACAATAAAAATTTTAAAAATATGAGAAAGTAGAGATACGGCTCACTTGGTGTTAGCCTTGAGCAGAATGCCAAGGGAGAGTGCCCTGAGTTTGAGCCCCAGTACTGGCAAGATACGCACACCAAAATATAAGCTCTTCTCTAAGAGAAACGTTTTATCTTTGCCCTTTCCTTCATGAATTTAATACTTACTTTCCATATTTTTTGTCCATATGTGTGTGTGTATAGAAACATTCTTAAAATAATATCTGACCTAAAGTCTCATTTCAATTCTTCATTGACTCAACAAGTGAAAACAATTTATATGTCTCCTAAATTCCAGAACTGCTTAAAATTATCTAAATTATTTAAAGTAGGTCATAGAATAATGGAAGAACTAGACCATAACTAGGTAGAGAGCCTTACAGAGTAGCATAAGTACCATGTTAGGACTTTACAGAGTCCTCAGAACCACGTAGGAAGTATGTCTATGAAAATTGGGTGTTCCAAAATGGTTGCAACAAGATTTTCTTGTCTCTAGACGTGGAGAGGCCAAGAGTACACACAGGACTGATAGCCTAGCTGAGGTCCCACCTACCAGACATGAATAAAGAAGTCTTTGAGATGACTAGCCACAATGACCATTTAGCCTTAACTGCCTGAGGAGCCATCGCTGAGCCTACAGTGAGGAGAGCTAATACATGATTGCTGCTGTTTTAAGCACTACATGTTTTGGATGGTTTGTTATAGAGCAGTGGATAATTAGAACAGAATACAATGCATACCCGTGTCATTCTAAGTCCTCAAAAAAATTTTTTTTGTAAAGTAATGGGACTAAACTGGAATATCTTTTAAGGTCAGTCCTTCTACTTCAAAAGATCTGTCTCATGTTTGTGAAATCCAACCTGGTTGTTAGCTAACCACAGTAATTGAGAATCCCACATGGTTGGAAATTCCAAGCAGTGCATTCCCGTTCTACATACGGACCCTTTGCTCTCAATGCCTATTTAGACTGGATTATAGATGAATTTCCACAATCTCTTTACCCTCCTCTCTTGCAAGCTAGTTTGCATGAAAGAAGCATAGAGAAGAGAATTTCTGTCATGAATAATCCCACTGTTTATCCTGTAAGAATTCTACCTTTTCTTGGCCTTTGTTAGCATGTGTCATCAATCATGAACAGAAAAAGCAGGTTCAGTGGATCATACCTATAATCCTGCCTCTTGGGAGGTTAACAGTGGGAGAATTGTGGTTTGAGGTCAGACCAGGCAGAAAAGTTTTCAGAACCCCTTCTCAACCCATAACTGGGCACAGTGGCACAAACCTGCTATCTTAACCTACATGTGCTCTGTGATTGGGAAGGTTGAGGTTCAAGGCCAGCTGGGACAAAAAAATCCACAAGACTCCCATCTCAACTGAGGGAAGCTAGATGGAGTAGCAGATCCAAACAACTACAATAAGCCTAAAAGTGGTGTATAATGGTCCAAGTGCTCATCTAGGCTAGAAGAGAGACCCCTCTCAAACATAATGGTGTAGGTGCTCACCCAGGAGGAGAGACACCTTCATAAACATAGCCAGTGAGGCTGAGCACCGATGGCTCAGAGCTGTAACCCTAGTGACTCAGGATCAGGATCTCAGGATCTCAGTCTTGAAGGGTATGTTTTGAAGCCATCCCAAACAGAACTGTTCATGACTATCTCTACTTACTTAACCAGCAAAATTCTGGGCTGGAGGTGTTGCTCAAGTGTTGGAATGTCCAACAGAAAGCTGTGAGAAAGAGCAGGAATCCGAGTTCAGCATGCACATACACATTTGCGCATATGTATGCATGTATGCACACATGTACACATGCACACAACCAATTAAAACATGGCTGGAGGTGTGGCTTAAACCTCACTCCCTCCAGCCCCCCAAAAATGGGGATAAAAAGAGGCTTGTAGTTTCTTCTGAATGTTATAGTTTGCAGTCAGCTATAAATGTCAGTAAATGATCTTATAATGACCCAAATAAATGTCATTTATTAAAAAAAAAAAATGTGGCTCAGTGGTAGAGTACATGCATAGCAGGTGTGAGACCTTGGGTTCAATTCCCAGCACTGCAATAAAAACAAAAAAGTATTCATATTTGAATATACTAACCATACCAATATATTCCTTTAAGAAAAACATCCATTTACTTTTTTTTGGTGCTAGTCCTGTGGCATGAACTCAGGGCCTGGGTGCTATTCCTGAGTTTATTTGCTTAGAGGGCTTGGGAGTAGGGAGTGTTTTCCACCCTTACTCTCATAATAGGTATTTATTTGAAACTAAAAAGACACTGGGAATTTTAAGGTGTGTGTGTGTGTGCACACATGCTCATGTATACAGGTCCTAGAGCTTAGGGCCTGGGTGCTGTCCCTGACCTTTTTTGCTCAGTGGTCTGCCCTTCTGGCATATAAGTCTTATGGACCTTCCTGCCCAGGCTGGCTTCCAGCCACTACCCTTAGATCCACATTGTATTTGGAATGGGAAATTATATTTATTATGCCACATGTTCATGCCTCTTGCCCCCATGCTGCTTATCACATCCTAAAAATTGGTTTTAAATAAGATTCCCACAAAGAAAATACTGCTGGCCAAATAAATACCTTGTTGTTTAGTATAATTTAATAAAATGTGATATAAAGTTTTTTAAATAAAGATATTAACATTAAAAAGAATAGGAATTTTGAAGGACATTGAAGAGAAAGTGATGTAATCATGTGAATATTTTTATCTCAACATATAAGGAGCATTATCTGTAATAGGCATGAATGATGTTGGGATTTACTTTAGACATATTTGTCCCACTTGGAGTTTTGTTTTGTGTTATCCTGCAAAGTCTTCATGGCTGGTGTGTCCATATGGAAAAATATTTCTAGTTTTAGTTTTATGCTTTTCATGGTGCCAGGAATCAGATCCAAGGCCTTGTGTGTGCAAGGCAAGCTCTCTTCTGCTGAGCTACACCTGTCCCTAAGGAAAACATTTCTTTCTCCTTTATTTAATATCTAATGGATATTGCAAAGAAGTATAATTGGAGATTCCTGCTAACCTTCTAACAGTTTACAAATTCTTTTAAGAAAAGTTCCTAGTGTACCTGGTATGTGGCTCAAGTAGTAGTGATGGCCTTCCAGCTCAAGGTTAAACTCTAGTACTACCGCCCAAACGCCACAAAGTAAAGTGAGAAGAGAGAAGAAAGAACAAAGAGTGAGAGAAGGGAGGGAGGGAAGGGGGGAGAGAGAGGGAGGAAAGAAAGGGAAAGGAAAGGAGAGAGGATGGGGGAGGGTTTCCAAGCTTACCTGAGGTACTGTAGTAGTTGACCATGACTCTGTCCCCATTGGGAGCTCTCAACTGGATTGCACTTCCTGAGCATCTAACAGCCTTTATAAAAGCCTTCACTGGATGGACTAGGGAACTCCTTCTCCACTCTTTCTGCTAACTCAGTCTTTTTTCCACACAGAGAATCAGGAAGAGAAAGGAACAGCACAAGTATCAGCATTTCCATCTATTCACTACTCCTAAAGAGAACAAGAGACACCTAGTAGTTTATATTAAAACTGAGGAACTTTACATTCAGGGAATACCATGCTGTTAAACAATTATGAGTAGTAAGATACTGAGCAAGACTTTTTTTGTTCTTGTTTCATCCAAGGCTGTTCACTATACAAGCAACCCTGAAAAGAGAACAAAGTTTCTGTTGCCTCTTCCTGCAAGATGTACAGAAACGTGAAAGAGCCACGATTTGTCTGCTGTGCTGTTTTCCCTGTGTAGATATTTATTACCCATCTTCCCCTGAGACCTTTTAGGTTTCATGAGAGTAGAATGGTCTTACCTGAAATTCCTAAAATAATACTTGTCCCTGGATACATGCTTGACAAGTACTTGTTGAATGAATGTGATTGTTTAATTGATTGCCTAATGGTATATTTTGGAATGATGAGAAAAGTAACTTAGGTATGTTTGTGTTTCTGTTCACATATCTTGCTGGTGTTTTAGGCTTTTTTTTTTGGCCAGGCCTGGGGCTTGAACTCAGGGCCTGAGCATTGTCCCTGAGCTTCTTTTGTTCAAGGCTAGCACTCTACTACTTGAGCCATAGTGCCACTTATGGCCTTTTCTGTGTATGTGATACTGAGGAATCAAACCCAGGGCTTCATGCATACTAGGCAAGCACTCTACCACTAGGCCACATTCCCAGTCCTTGCTGGTTTTAGTACTATGTTTAATTATAATCTGAAAATAAACTTCCATTTTAACGTTGATCTTTAATTATCAAATCTGATGAACAGACAACATTGAAAGAATAGTCCTGGAAAGGGGGATTTTTTTTTTCTGAAACATGATGCATATTTTAATATGGTTTTAACCTTTGAAGCAAATAACTATACATACAGACACAAATCAATAATAGCAATAAGACCATAGAATACTGAATTATGATCTAGTTAGATCATAATTAGAATTTTAGCTGATTTTTTGCTTTGTTTTACTGGGGGTCTCAGTGATTAGCTTCTGTTTCATTAACTACAATACTTGGCTTATGCTTAAAACTTTGTTACTTGAGTTTACGTAACTCTCCTAAACATATCACAAATGAGAATTTTCATTTCCTGACATGTTCATGGGTTGTAGTTCATTTATAGTTCTATTGGGCGGTATTATAAAATGGGAAGGGTAGAGTGCAGTGGCTATAGTTACGTCACTAGTGTAACACAGCCTTGGATAAATAAGTACCTGTATATATCACATTTTCTACTGTACTTAGATTAAGTAAGAGTACGTTCTTTTTAATGTTTCAATTCCAGATCTCTTTGGAGTTTGTATATTCCTACAACAATCTTTTATTATTCTAATTTTAGGTGATGTCCTTGTTGCTGTGAATGATGTTGCTGTGACCTCAGAAAACATAGAGAGAGTTCTGTCTTGTATTCCTGGACCCATGCAGGTCTGAACATTCTTTTGCAACATTTTACAATGAGTTATATGAAATACATACATTTTGTATTTCTTTTTTAAGATTATGAAAATTATCATGCTTAATATGTGAATTACATTTATTCTTGAATATTTAAGAAATACCTTTGTAGTATTTTTCTAAAAATAAAAATCATTCTAAATGAAGCAGCAATAGCAATAATAATAGAAACATACATAATTACCACCTTGCCATTTTAACTACCATATGTACTGATCGATACCAATCTAGTTTCTAGAAGAGTCATTTTAAACAGCTATTCAGTGGTCTGTTTTGTGAGGGTGTTTTTGTTTTTGTTTATTTTTTGGGGGGTCCGGTCGTGGGGCCTGAACTCTAGGCCTGGGCGCTGTCCCTCAGCTATTCAGCTCAAGGCTAGCGCTCTGCCACTTGAGCCACAGCGCCACTTCTGGCTTTTTTCTTTTTGCTTATATGGTGCTGAGGAATCGAACCCAGGGCCTCATGCATGCAAGGCAAGCGCTCTACCACTGAGCCACCTTCCCAGCCCCTGTTTTGCTTTTTTGGTTAGTCATAGGGCTTGAACTCTGGGTCTGGGCGCTGTACCTCAGTTCTTCAGCTCAAGGCTGGCACTCTACCACTTGAGCCACAGTGCCACTTCTGGTTTTCTGGTGGTTAATTGGAGATGAGTCTCATGGACTTTCCTGCCCGGGCTGGCTTTGAATTGCGATCCTCATATCTCAGCCTCCTGAGTAGCTAGGATTACAGGCATAAGCCACCAGCGCCCAGCTTGTTTTCTGAGTTTTTGAAACAATTCATGCTAGAAAATTTTTAATACTGTTTTACTTTAGTATCTGCTTATACTATTTTCTTGATTTTTGTTACTTAGGTAAGCTTTCATCCTGAACTGTTGGGAGTTAAAAATAAATTTCTCCTATAAGTCACATGATACTCTAAATATCAACATTTTATATTATAAATTACATTTTAAGATACTCAATGCATTTTGAAAGTTCTTTTCCTTTTCATAGGAATACTCTTTTCAATGTTCTCTTACTTGGAAGGTAGACATTATATGCTTTAAGTAGGTTAGAGGATCCATCAGACAGTGAGAGGATGAAGTAGTTTTCAGATTCGTTAACATGAATAAAATCCTTGATATGTCAGAATCATGTATCTGCTTTGATATTCTGTAATAAGATCCATGATGAAATTCCCTGTTTTCTAAAAAATAAGATTTCTTACATTCACTATCTTCTCTGAAATACACCACCATACATTTCCACTAACTTTGTAAATTTAGATATCCTTAGAAAGTTAAAATGAACAATGGAATAACTGATAGCTACGGACAAGCAATGACTACAGATGGCTAAGCGGATATAGGTAAAGACAGGGTGGTGTTTGAAATATTAGCCCTTAGAAACCAATTCGCCATTATCCTCTTTAGTCTCTAGATGTTAGGAGAGGACTTGGTTGGGACAAGGTACTACGGTACCTCAAGAGACTTAGCAGCTAGTAAAAAATAAGTAACCAAGAATTGTAGCATTTTCACAGCTGAACCAGCCTTCCCCAGATAAAGTGGCTACATATCAGAGTTCTTCATTTCTTGCCTATGTCAGTTGCAGTACAGGTGGAATGACAATTTTGCCAGAACTCAATCATGTTTATATTTACTATAAAATTACATTATACTTACATTTAATTAATGATTGCAGATTCATTTGTATATAAGCATAACATAAGAAAGAAAGAAATAGCTGAGTGCTGGTGACTCAGGCCTGTAAATGTAGCTACTCAGGAGGCTAAGATCTGAGGATTATGGTTCAGAGCCAGCCCTGGCAGGAAAGTCTGTGAGACTCTTACCTACAGTAAACCACCAGAAAACTGGAAGTGGTGCTGTGGCTCAAGTGGTAGAGGGCCAGCTTTGAGCTGAAGAGCTGAGGAACAGCGCCCAGGCCCAGAGTTCAAGCCCCACAACCCACCAAAAAAAAAAGAAAAGAAAGAAATTATGGTTTGACTGTTTTGGGCATATCTTCAGTAAATATACAAAAGCAACTATGTATTTGCTATTGGTCCATGTCCTACTTTAAAGAAAGATAGGCATTTTGCAATAGTATATGCGGTTGTATTTTTTATACAGTGTAACTTTAAAGTGCCACAGCTTTATGCCACAGCTCTACTTCTGGCTTTTGTTAGGTGGGTAGTTAATTGGAGATGAGTCTCACACAGACCTTCCTGCACTGGCTTCTCTTTGTACTGTGAGATCTTGACTTCTTAGCTTCCTGAATAGCTAGGATTATAGATGTGAGCTACTGGCACCCAGTTAGGAGATTACTTTAAGAATGGAAGAAGAACTGAGTTAAATTTATGCATTGAGAAACTATATTGTACTCCAAAATGGCATTGCTTCCCTAATACAATTTTGAAGATACTTTGTTTATATACAACTTCAGAATATAATCCCATCATGAGCAAATATCATTAAATCTATTATTTTAGAAAGATGTATATTATAAAGGTAATGCATCTATAGTATTATATTTTGGAAACCACAAAAAAGTAACTAAGGAACAAATTTCTCCAGTACTCAACTACTATAATATTTTAGTGTACTTTATTATGATGTTATTTTCTGTGTATAAACATTTGTTAGTTTTGCTAGTAGATTGGGTATTATAACTGTGTCTTTCTCAAAAAACGAGCACCTGTGTTTAGGTAATGAATGGCTAATAACTATATAGAATTTAGACTTCTTAACTAGAAACCAAAATAGACCATGTTTTCCTTTTTTATTGTTGAAAGGGGGTTTTCTGTTACAGCCATTTCCCTGAGGCCCTGTAAGTAGAACTAGATGGAGCCAGGAGTAAAATAGGGAAGGGTACTGATGTTCCCATATGGCAGGCAGTATGCTAAATGTATTACTTCTACCTTTTGGCAGTTGGAAAATGGACATATTCTTACCAATCTTAAGGTTAGGGTACAAAGCTAAAACTATGTTGATAGAACTGACCGTTTATCTTAAGGCTATGGTCCAGGACCTATTGTGTTGACAGGTTTTACCATCATTGGTCTTTACTGTAAAAGATCACAAAGAATGTCTGAGAAAATACTTGAAGTACCCCATTTGAAAAGAAAGTAAAATCTGGTTGTGTGAAGTTGATCTTGATCCTTTGTCTCTTCATTTTATCTCTTTCAGTTGACTCAGTGCTATCAGTATAATAATGTAGTATAACTTGAATACATTCTCACTTCATACTAAATTCTGATCTTTTCATGGCATTTCTTGTTTTTGTAGTCAATAATTAAGAACAAATAAATTAAATTACTCCTCAGTAAAGTTTTATACTGGTCAGACACTGTGCAAGAAGCTAGATACAAGTATAAACCAGTGGAACATATAACCTCTTCTATCAGGACTCTTTGCTCTAGAATGACTTATCCATACAGTGTACACCTTCTTGGAAAAATGCAGCCAATTTTGCCTCATCTTAATTTTTAAGGTGAAACTGACATTTGAAAATGCATATGCTGTGAAAAAGGAAACTATCCAACCAAGAAAGAAAAAGACACAGACAAACACAAGTGATTTAGTGAAGCTCTTCTGGGGAGAGGAGGTTGACAGCATCCAGAATCCTCCACATTCTCCACACATCATCATGTATCTCACACTGCATCTTGACTCGGAAACCTCAAAGGAAGAGGTGAGTGTGTGCTTGAAAGTGGAAGGTAAAAAGTAAGGACCTTTTGTAGTCTTTTCAGTAAATGTAGGCATGTTTTATTTTGATTTAGGGAAGAATTAAAGCGAGTAACCTATTTTCAGACTTATTCCTTGTGTATTTTATTTATGAATGTTTCACACAACAAATGTTTTTTTAAACATAAGTGAATTAACTATTTAGTTGTTTCAAGCAGTAGGAAAAAGAGAAAGAAGATACTATTGCAGTATCTTCTAGCTTACAAGCTAAGCTCCTGTTCCCCTGTACTCTTGTTATCCTGAACTCCTTTTTTGATTAGTCTTTATTGAGGTATTGCTTTTTATATATTAAACTAAACTGTGTTAAATGGACAATTTGTTGAGTTTTGACAAATAAGTACAAATATAGTTGTGTAAACGTCATGAAAGGTTCTCACATTTTGTAATCAGTTACCTCTTCCCGTTTATGTTTTACATATTTTTAATTCATATCTCAGTGTTTTTTAAACAAGTGTGTCTGGTGTGGTATTAGATTTTATGCCTTTTTTTTTTGAGGGGGGGCAGTCCTGGGACTTCAACTCAGGGCCTGAATGCTGTCCCTGACCCTCTTTGTGTTCAAGGCTTGAGCCACAGCACCACTTCTGGCTTTTTCTGAGCACTTTATTGGAGATAAGAATCTCACAGACTTTTTCTGCCCGGGCTAGCTTCTAATTGCGATCCTCAAATCTCAGTCACCAGAGTAGCTAGGATTACAGGCATGAGCCACCAGCACCTGGCTAGATTTTATGTCGTTTTAGTCATAAATAAGAAAATAATCTAGCAGGGCCCTGGAGGATCACACCTGTAATCCTAGTTATGCGGGAGGTAGAGATCGGAAGATTGGGATTTGAAGCCAATCCATGAGATTCTTATCTCCAGTTACCACTCAGAAAGGCCTAAATAGAATCCTGAAATTTGAATAGAAACCACATCTACAGAGATTTTTGAGCTTAAAGAACAAAGCTGTGGAGATATTATGCTACCAGACCTTGATATATACCACAAAGCTAAATATAACTAAAACAACATGAGTTTGACATAGAAACAGAAACCTAGATGACCAAGAGAACATAATAGAGTCCAGATATATCTTTATGCATTTAGAGCAACATAGGAGACAAGAAAATGGGGAAAGGACAGTCTCTTCAATAAATACTGTTGGAAAAATGACACGTCTACACAAGTTACAAATATCAATTTAAAAACTTTAAACAAACACATTTCTCAGATTTTGAAATAATATTCCTTTGTCTTTAGAGTTCTATCATTGAAGTCAGTCTGTCATTTTTTTTTGTCAGGAAAAAGTCCCAGCAAAGTCCTAGGAGCAAAGTCTTCTTTCCACTAGGCCTGTCCTCTGGCAACCAAAGACTACTATAGGAAAATGGGTTCATTTAAGATTTAAACCACAGCAAGCAGTTTCTCTGTCTTTTTTTGGGGGCGGGGAGGGGGGTCCGGTCGTGGGGCCTGAACTCTGGGCCTGGGTGCTGTCCCTCAGCTCTTCAGCTCAAGGCTAGCGCTCTACCACTTGAGCCACAGTGCCACTTCCGGCTTTTTTCTTTTTGCTTATGTGGTGCTGAGGAATCAAACCCAGGGCCTCAGGCATGCAAGGCAAGCACTCTACCACTGAGCCACCTTCCCAACTCCATTTTCTTATGTCTTTTTAAGGATCTTTGTCTGAACTTACTGCTTGATTTTTATCTTGGAAGTCTGATATTTGTAAAGTGGGAATACTCTCTAGCATTCTCTCTCTTGTACTTCAATTTCTGCCCCCTAATTAAGGGGCACTTTAGCATTGCCTGAGGATCTGGACTCAGTTTACTGCAGTGGTACATGGTGGCTCAGCTTGCCACTAGCCCAGCATTCTGTTGAAGCTATCGTAAGCATCAACCCTTAGGATATTGCTATCTCTGTCCTTTTGCTCAGCATGCAGAACTCCTAGCTGAATCCCAGCTTCTTTTGTAGTGATGGATGAGGAGGGTGGAAGAATATGTAGAGGATGCCTTAGAAACCTCAGTACTTCTTGCATGCCATCAGTTCAACTAGCCAGGAAGCTATTTTTACAATAGAAAGCTCTCTCAAAGCATTTAGTCTAATATAATTCTCTGAGCAAAAGTGAGATCTGAAAAATGTTTAACTATTCTGAATTTTTTAAGCCTCTATTCCCTACATTTCCTGTGTGGTTCATCTGTCAATGAATGGTTCATATATAATGAATTATTACATGGCAAAAAAGGAATGTACTATGTTTTTTAAATCATTTTCTTTGATCTGAGCAACATATTGAGACCTAGAATTAATCATTCTTATTTCTTGTGTGTAATAGTGGCCCCTTATATCTCTAAAACAAGTGACACTTAGGAATTTATTATATAAAACATCCAACAAATGTCAAGGATAACATCCAGCATTATTCCAGGTTGCTTTGGAGTAGGGCACTACTAAGGCCTTTTGTCATCCTTGCCTCTTTTTCCCTGGGGAAGTGTGAACAGGTTTCTGTCTCTTCTAGCTATGTAATTAGGGAAGGCTTTTTATTCTTATTGAACAGAGTAGAGGCTGCTGCAAATGCATACTATTAACAAGTGCTTAAAAATGCAGCTAGTTAAATTGGGTAATAACTGAAGAGGTTGCCAGGTCTTTAATACTAAGGGTTTGTGATTAGTATAGAGACCTATTAAAATGGTCTCTTTTACTAGTCATACTACTCCTCAATGCAATGTCATAGGGTCATTTTGTTTGAGCTTTTATTTTTAATGAGAATCTTGAAATACTCTTCATTCTGCTTTTTTATGACATTATGTATTTGGTAAAAACTTGTCATTTTTTAGCTACAAGATGTAGACTGTAAGGACTATAATCTAAGAGATTTGAAAAACTAATCAGATTGTTTGAAATGGTGTTTGATGTTTCAGCTAAACCAGTGTGAAAGTACTTATTAATAAGCATTTAAACGTATGTGTTAGATAGACAAAGCAGAAGACCTTAATTGATGTTTGACTTAATTTCTAAGGATAAAATAATGTTTTGTTACAGTGGAAATATTATAAGAAAGTTTGAGCCGGATGCCAGTGGCTCACGCCTGTAATCCTAGCTACTCAGGAGGCTGAAATCTGAGGATCGTGGTTCAAAGCCAGCCACAGCGTCACTTCCAGCTTTTTCTGTTTATGTGGTACTGAGGAATCGAACACAGGGCTTCATATATGCTAGGCAAGCACTCTACCACTAAGCCACATTTTCAGTCCCAAAGCAGCTATTTCTAGTTTATCATTATTTATATTTGTCCAGTTGTAAAAATTCCAGTATATGGGGGCTGGGAAGGTGGCTCAGTGGTAGAGCGCTTGCCTTGTATGCTTGAGACCCTGGGTTCGATTCCTCAGCACCACATAAGCAGAAAAAAAAAGCCGGAAGTGGTGCTATGGCTCAAGTGGTAGTGTGCACGACCTGACCCCCCCCAAAAAAAAAAAAAAATTCCAGTATATGGTCATCATGTTAGTAATGATTTCTAACACAAATAATTATCTTCTAACACAAGATAAACTATAGAGAGAATCAAGGAGATAGGATAATGCTTGAGGAGATCAGGCTTGTGACTGTTAATCTGTGAGGAACTGAAAGCCACTCTGAATCATTCCTGGTTTCCAACCAGATGTTTTTATTTTGCTTGTTTTTGAGTTGCCTTGTGAGAAATTTAGATGTTGCCTAATTAGCAGCAAAAAGTGAGAAATACAATGGCTCATATTTTTGTGTTTGAAAAGTATTAAGATGGACTGGAGGCTCAAGTGGTACACTGACATCTGTGAGTGGAAAGCCAAGCGAGAGCATTAGGCCATCAGTTGAAGTCCCAGTACTGGTGTGTGCGTGGGTGCGCGTGCGCACACACACTTATTACAAATACTAGCACATTGCACATCCTGAGCGATTTATTATTTTATCTATGTATGTATGTTGGTTGGTTGGTTGTGGGTATTGAACTCTGGGCCTGGGTGCTGTCTCTGAGCTCTTCAGCTCAAGGCTAACACTCTACCACTTAAGCCACAGCTCCATTTCCAGTTTTCTGATGGTAAATTGGAGATAAGAGTCTTATGGACTTGCCCCGGCTGGCTTGGAACAATGATGTTCAGATCTCAGCCTTTTAAGTAGGATTACAGGTCTTAGCCATTGGAGCCCAGCCTTATTAGTTTATTTTAATCAGCTGTTTGTATACTTGGAATATACTGTTCTTGAAAATAGAGAAACACCTCACATTCTTTTTTTTTTTTCTTTTCTTTTTTTTTTTTTGTCGGTTGTGGGGCTTGAACTCTGGGCCTGGGCGCTATCCCTCAGCTCTTCAGCTCAAGGTGAGCACTCTATCACTTGAGCCACAGCGCCACTTCTGGATTTCTGGTGGTTACTTGGACTTTCTAGGTCAGACTGGCTTTGAACCTCGATCCTTATAGCGCAGCCTCCTGAGTGGCTAGGATTACAAGTGTGAGCCACCAGCACCCAGCTGCACATTCTTAAAAACCATTTGTGGATTATCTTACTGACTAGAATAACATATACTCTCCTTTAACATTTGAATTTAAATTAATTTGTAGTATGCAAATACTTTCAAATTTAAGAAGGGTAAGATTATAAAACATCACCATATGCTTTCTATTTATACTACTTTATTGTTGCATTCTCACTTTGCAAGTATAATTGCAGTTTTGTCTTAAATTTAAATACATATTTTATGATTTTATCCCAAATGAAGAAATGATCTTTTATAAGCCAGTTGAAGGAATTTGTATTTGAAGACTCCTGATAGTTCCATGTGGTGTGTAAAGTTCTATTAACTGTAGGTAATAAGAATACATACAGAATGAAATGTAATGAAAGATTAAGAATAGAAATTGTTAACAGTGATTAAAGTTTAAAAGACTTAGAAATTGTAATTTCAAATAATCAGTATCCTAATTAGTATATATTTTAGTAATATGACCAATTGGCAGTTTCTGACTTATTTTCAAATATAGTTTTAATTTAATTTATTATCTAGAGAGAAGGAGGATTTTATAGCGGCACAAAATGGAATGGTAAATCTGACCCCAAAGCCTAAGAAGGCACATTGGCAAATGGGTTGTTTTAAATGCTAATTTAAAGATTCAAGGCATGCTTCTTCCATGGGTATAAAACCTCACTGAAATTGAAAAGATTATCTTTTCTGTTCTTGATACAGAATCTGAACTTGCCACAACAAAAATAATAGTTGGAAATTTTGGTGTAGAGAGAGTTCATCATTTATGTTTCCTTTCATTTAACAGCAGGAAATTCTGTATCATTATCCAAAGTCTGAAGCATCTCAGAAACTAAAAAATGTGAGAGGGATTTTTCTCACACTCTGTGACATGCTGGAAAATGTAACCGGGACACAAGTTACCAGGTAATCATTAATTTCTATTTAGTTCTTTTCTTGAGTGTATCTGGTTCTGAAGTGCTGCATATACTGGTATCTATAATGTGTAGGTATCTGTATTGATGGGATATCTGCAGATATTTTGTTCATTGGCATTATGCCCAGAGTCATCTACTTGACTTATATAGTAGATTTTTCAATACAGCTATAGAGCTGGGTGTTTGGGCACATTTTAATGAATAGTGTTTTAAGTTCTTCATAGGGCTGGGAAGGTGTCTCAGTGGTAGAGCGCTTGCCTTGTATGCATGAGGCCCTGGGTTCGATTCCTCGGCACCACATAAGCAAAAAAGAAAAAAGCCGGAAGTGGCGCTGTGGCCCAAGTGGTAGAGCGCTAGCCTTGAGCTGAAGAGCTAAGTGACAGCGCCCAGGCCCAGAGTTCAGGCCCCACTACCAGACCCAAAAAAATAATAATAATAAGTTCTTCATAAAAGTATTATCTTTTTTCAGCATGGAATTATGATTCCAGCTTCTTCCTGTTTTTACTGTGATTGTTACTTTGTTAGACAATGCTTTTGTAGTTGGCAAGAATGACTAAATAGTGATTTTTTTCACAGAAAAAAATACTGTTTTCACAGAAGTGATAGAAAAGTATAGTGTAGTATAGTGATAGAAAAATACAGTAATTACTTTAGGATATATATTCAGAATTTATTGTCCCCTGTAAGCAAAATTAATGTCAAATAATTTTTGTGTGTGAGTATAGGAGGGTACTAGGATTTGACTCTGGGCCTACTGCTTTCTCGGCTTCTTGCTTATAGCTTATACTCAGAGCCATGCCTCCAGCTTTGCTTTTTGCTGGTTAATTGGAAAAAAAAATCTCAATAGACTTTTTCTGCCAGTCTGGCTTGGAATTACAGTCTTGGTTGGTCTCAGCCTCCTGAGTAGCTAGGATTATAGGCAAGAGCCACTAGTGCTTGCTGCAAATTCAAATTTTAAACATTAGGGCTGGAGATGTAATTCACTCCTAAAGCAGTTGTCTAGCATATATGAAGCTGTGGAAATGATTACTAGCACTTAAGGGAAAAAGAAAAGAAAAGTTCTAACATTGTATAGTTAGCTATAGAGCCAAACACCCATTCCAAATTGATTTATCAAGCCCCGACTTTAAAGTACCCTAATTAATTTGAGATGAGAGAATTCAATGCTTTTGAAGTTTGTTTTTATAAAAATGATGATTTTTTTCCTTAATATTTCATTACATTTGGAGCTTATAAAAATTTCCAATTTTAAGAGCCCTGTATTACTCATGAAATAATAAGTTGGAGTTTTAAGGCTGTTTTTCCTTTTCCTACTTTCTCATAAATATTATACTATTACATTTTAAAAGGTAGTGTCTGTTAGAGAATAGGAAGAATTTGTTTTCCTAGATAAAAGTCATGCTTAAATCCATGAGTTTTAATGTGGTCATAAATAGAAATTAGTTCATTCTGTCAACAGTAGTACTCAAAACCTCATTTAGGGTATAAATTGCATTTATAAAAGCACTTTACCAGACCTCTTTTTATTTGTATTTATATTTCATTTTACAATGAGGCCTCCCACTTTGCGGGGCAAATGCTCTATACCACTGTGCTGTACCCCTAGTCCTATTTTTCACCTGTGTGGGGCGGGGAGGGGGTATGTGTGGTATGTGCATGTGGCGTGTGCGTTCAGTCCATCCTGGGGCTTGAACTCAGTGCCTGGGCATTATTAATGCCTGTGCTTTCTAGCTCAAGGCCAGCACTCTACCACTTGAGAGCCACAGCTCCATTCATGGACTTCCTGTCCTGGCTGGCTTTAAGCCAGTATCCTCAGCTCTCAGCCTCCTGAGTTGCTTCAGGTATGAGCCACCTGAACCTGGCTTCCCCCCCCTTTCCCTTTTTAAATGGTTTGTTGAGAAATAAAATTCATAAACATAAAATTCATAAAATCACAGATTTTAAAGGTGTACAAGTAATACTTTGATTTATATTCAGATATGTATAACTACCCCAAAGTCAATTTTAGAACAGTTTTATCACCTCAGAGAGAAATGCTGTGCCTTTTAGCTACCAGCTTGCTTAACTGTACCCTGTCCAAGCCCTATACATGTATGAATGGAATCATATATGTGATTACTTGTGACTGTCTTCTACCATTTGCCATAGTATTTTTGAGGTGCAGGTCTCCTTTTAAAAGGCACCTTGTTTTATGTTTCTTTATGTAAAAGGCTATGTATGTAGCTAGCTCAGTAGTGTGGCAATGTGCTAGGTTCAATCCCTGGCACTGAGAAGGAAAAATAAAATTGAATTTCTTCATGTAGGTTCTTTTTTTATTTATTTATTTTTGTAGTTGTTGGTTGTGGGTCTTGAACTCTGGGCCCAGGCGCTGTCCCTGAGCTCTTCAGCTTGAGGTGAGTGCTCTACCACTTGAGCCACAGCTCCACTTGAAGCTTTTTTGGGTAGTTTATTGGAGATAAAAGTCTCATGGCCTTTCCTGCCTGGGCTGGCTTTGAACCTCAATTCTCAGATCTCAACCTCCTGAGTAGCTAGGATTACATGGGTTCGCCACCAGCGCCTGGCTGCTCTTTTTTAATACCTTATGGGATAGATAATTATCTTATTTAATATTTAGGTCTTGTTATTAGTGATGAGGTATGAGTTAAACATGTACAGTAAAACCAGAGAAATAATTTTAAAGAAACAATAGATGTGATTTTTACTATTTTAGGGGTTCCTTAGCAATATGAATATCTTGGTGCATTCATACTTTTAAAAACCTTTGTAAAAATGTTAGGTGATATGACAAAATTAACGGGACTTAAGAAACAAAGAACTTCCACTCATCTGGTCGAACCACTACTAAATAACCCCATGCTGCTGATCACACGTATAGTATATATGTGTACACTGGAGGGGAACCAGGAAGACGACACAGAATTAGAGGGAATCAGGGAAAAACATACAACAGTGGGACCCATTAGCTGCACTGGACATTGACCAAAATGAACTAAGCAACTTAATGGCAGCGATGGGAGGGGGGGAACAAATGGGAAAGAGGGAACAGCTGACGCTATGCAAAACAAAAGAAATGTACATACCACCCAATGTGGAAGAAATAACTGTATTGCAAAGCTCACAGAACTCATAAATGTTATAGACCGTGATAGACAATTTGCTCCAGGAAAGTTAGAATGTGTTTGTGACTTTAACTGAGGATCACTATCCCACAATATTGTGAAATTTGGGAAAGTATATAATCACTTAATCAAAAAATAAAAAATTAAAAAAGGAAAAAAAATAGAAACCTTTGTAAAAGTATTCATTTTTAAATGAGTACATAAAATAGTAAAGAAAAACATTAAAAATAGTAATAAAGATGTTTGGTAATTCATACATATTTAAAAATCTATGCACTTACATTCTCTGTATTTCCATGATTCATTGTGTCTCTTTTGAGAATACATTAGCTTTTTGCTGCTTCATGACATGTACTCGACATAAATTGTGCAGGTGTAAAATACACAGTTTTATCAGTTTTGACCTAAGTATATGTCCTCAAAACTATTCCATAGTTAACATACCCATTACCCCCAAGAGTTTCCTTGAGAACATTCTTAATGTCTGAGTTATGTTTTGGTTACTTGTTTATATATTTAAATCCCAGAGTGGACTGTCACCTTCTGAGCTGGGATGGCTTCCTTTAGCATGTCATATTCAAAAGTGAGCAAAGGTATAATATACCAACTGGTATGGAAACTTTCTTTTGAAGAAAACAATGAGTCTACTTTTGGTTGGCCTATATTAATTTGGATTGTTTCTGTTTTTTAAAATTTTTAGAAAGTATTTTTGTTCTGATGTAATTCCCTACCTTTTCTTTATGACAGAAATTTGCATATTTAATATTGACTTTTAAAATCATACTGTTTAAGTCATGCCAAAGCTTACAAATAAGTTAACTTTATGACATTTAAAGATAATCTAACTTCTTGAATTTATTTTTCCTTAGTTCATCCCTCCTTTTAAATGGGAAGCAAATTCATATAGCTTACTTGAAAGAGTTTGACAAGTTGTTGTTAATTGGCCTACCTGCTGAAGAGTAAGTTGAGATTTTTATTTAATATAAGAAATATTGGTAACAAATCTGGTATCATTAAAATGGTGACATTTGATCAAAAGACAGACTACTAATGAGTGTTGTGATGTAACGCTATGTTGTGCAAGTGTAGTGGTTACCTATATTCATCTAGTATGAATAGGGTATAAAGATGCACCGAGGTTCCTCTGGACACACAGAGGCTATAGGCTATCTGTACACTTTTCTCTTTGGTGATACAGAGGTGGCTGATAGATGAGCTTGTCTTCTGCTCAGAATTTTAACAGTGTTTTAATACAGATTTTACATATTTTCAATTTACTTACCGTTGTTGGAAAATTAAGGGTCAGCAGAAGGATATTTTGTCCAAGGTTGAAGGTCTTTAACAAAACATTGAGTACCTATAACTTTCCTAGTGATACATCTTAAACGATTACATCTTCCTCATAGCTTTTTTTTCAAGTATTTTGAAATACATCTTATTTTTGTAGTTAGTAATAGAGGCATGATTGACACTCATAATTAACTGACCCTGACCCTAACCCTAACCCTAACCCTCTAACCCTAACCCTCTAACCCTCCAACCCTAACCCTAACCCTAATCCTCTAACCCTAACCCCCTAACCCAGACCCCTAACCCCGACCCCGACCCCGACCCCAACCCTAACCCCTAAGCCTAACCCCAACCCCAACCCCAACCCTAACCCTAACCCAACCCCAACCCCAACCCTAACCCTCTAACCCTAACCCTAACCCTCTAACCCTAACCCTCTAACCCTAACCCTAACCCTCTAACCCTAACCCTAACTATCTAACCCTAACCCTCTAACCCTAACCCTAACCCTCTAACCCTAACCCTAACCCCCTAACCCTAACCCTAACCCAACCCTAACCCTAACCACCCTAACCCTAACCCTAACAACCCTAACCCTCACCCTCACCCCGACCCCCACCCCCACCCTTACCCTCACCCTCACCCTAAACCCTAACCCTACCCTAACCCTAACCCTAAACCCTAACCCTAACCCTCTAACCCTAACCCCCTAACCCTAACCCCAACCCCAACCCCAACCCTAACCCAACCCTAACCCTAACCCAACCCTACCCCTACCCCTAACCCCAACTCCAACCCTAACAACCCTAACCCCAACCCTAACAACCCTAACCCGAACCCTAACCCCAACCCTAACCCCAGCCCCAGCCCCAACCCCAACCCTAACCCTGACCCTACCCCTATCCCTGACCCTACCCCTGACCCTGACCCTGACCCTGACCCTAGCCCCAGCCCCAGCCCCAACCCAAACCCCAACCCTAACCCTAATCTAACCTAACCCTAACCTAACCCTAACCCCAACCCTAAACTCAACCCCAACCCCAACCCCAACCCCAACCCTAACCCCTATCCCTATCCCTAAACCTAACCCTCACCCTCACCCCGACCCCCACCCCCACCCCCACCCTCACCCTCACCCTAAACCCTACCCTAACCCCAACCCCAACCCTACCCCTACCCCTAACCCTACCCCTACCCCTAACCCCTAACCACTAACCCCCAACCCCAACCCCAACCCTAACCCTAACCTAACCCTAACCCTAACCTAACCCTCACCCTAACCCTCACCCTGACCCTAAACCCTGACCCTGACCCTAACCCCAACCCCAACCCGAACCCCTAACCCTAACCCCAACCCCAACCCGAACCCCTAACCCGAACCCCAAACCCGAACCCGAACCGCAACCCCAACCCCAACCTCAACCCTGACCCTGACCCTAAACCCTAACCCTTAACCCTAACCCCAACCCCAACCCCAACCGCAACCCCAACCCTAACCCCTAACCCCGAACCCCGAACCTCGAACCCGAACCCTAACAACCCGAACCCAAACCCTAACCCTAACCCTAACCCAACCCTAACCCAACCCTAACCCTAACCCAACCCTAACCCAACCCTAACCCCAAACCCTAACCCTAACCCCTAACCCTAACCCCTACCCCTAACCCTACCCGTAACCCTACCCCTAACCCTACCCCTGACCCTACCCCTGACCCTGACCCTAGCCCTAGCCCCAGCCCTAACCCCAGCCCCAGCCCCAGCCCCAACCCCAACCCTAACCCCAACCCCAACCCTAACCCCAACCCTAACCCCTATCCCTAACCCTCACCCTCACCCCGACCCCCACCCCCACCCTTACCCTCACCCTCACCCTAAACCCTAACCCTACCCTAACCCCAACCCCAACCCCAACCCTACCCCTACCCCTAACCCCTAACCACCAACCCCAACCCCAACCCCAACCCTAACCCTAACCCCCTAACCCTAACCCTCACCCTGACCCTGACCCTAAACCCTGACCCTGAGCCTAACCCCTAACCCTAACCCCAACCCCAACCCCTAACCCCAACCCCAACCCCAACCCCAACCCCTAACCCGAACCCCAACCCCAACCCGAACCGCAACCCCAACCCCAACCTCAACCCTAACCCTGACCCTGACCCTGACCCTAACCCTGACCCTGACCCTAACCCTGACCCTCCCCCTGACCCTAACCCTGACCCTCCCCCTGACCCTCACCCTGACCCTCACCCTGACCCTCACCCTGACCCTAACCTAAATCCTGGCCCTGGCCCTGACCCTGACCCTAACCCTTACATGCACCTAACATGTGCCATTAGACATACAATAACCTTAACAAAACATGCTTAAGGTGGGTCCAAGTTTCCAAAAAGAGATAAATAGCACTCAATCCCCACCCATATGTGTATGGAATCGCAGTTGTGTGAACAGAATGAAAGCACAGCTGACTACTCATTCCAGGCTCCAGGCTCCTCCAAAATTAGGCACAGCGGGGCCCACCACATCAATGATGGTAAAGGAAGAACTCTAAGCAAAACAACCCCACAACTGCTGAACTGGCTACACATACACCATAAAACCATACATGTTTGGAATCATGAATACTAACACATATTTCAAATGTACCTTGACTCTAACTCAACTCAAAATCCTAAGAGATATCCTAACGTGTGCTCATCCTAACACATACCTTAACACTAACATGTACCCAAACCCTAATAAGTACCCTACCACATAGTCGAAACCATACAGGTATCAATTCATGAACACTCACATGTAACTCAAACATGCCCTAACTCAAACCCAAATCATAACCCTATGAGATACCCTAACATAACCTAACATGAACCCTAACATGTGCTCTAACCCTAACTCATGCCATAATCCAATCCTAATGTGCATACCCTACCACAAACCCTACCACATACTCTAACATGTAGCCTGACAATTGTATACCATAAACCTCATACCCTAAACACATACTCTAAAAATTAACAATTATCCTAACAGGTACCCCAACATGTACTCTAAACTCTGCAAGTATCCTTACATGTTTCCTAACATATGCCCTAATATAAGTACACTCACATGTACTCTTACCATACATATACCTTAATATACCCTAACAGATGCGCTAACCTTAACCAAAACCATAACCCTAACCCATACTCTACCATGTGTCTTAACTCTATCATATGATCTAACGTGTACCCAAACACATACTCGAACCATTAACACATAGCCTAACAAGAACCCTAACATGTACTCTTAAACATACATGTACCCTAATATGAACCACAGCATGTACTCTAAACAGTAATGCACCCTAGGAAGTACCCTATCAAGTACTCTAAACCATACAGGTACCCTTACATGTACCCCCAACTAAACCCATGTCACAACCTAATACATGCCTACCCTAACGCATATTCTAACATGCACTCTAACACGTTACCATGTACCATTACAAGTACCTTCATATATACTCTAAGCAGGTACATTACCCTAACCATGTATCCAAACCATAACATGTATCCTAAGATGTACCCTAACACTACCATGTGCTCCAAACTTTACATCCACCCTAAGTACCCAAACTATCTATGCATAAACTAACACGTACTCTAACCCTAATCTAAACCCTAACAAATACCCTAACACATATCCTAACCACAACACAAATCTTAACCACTACCACATACTCTAAACTTGACATGCATCCTAACAAGTACATCGTATGTAATGAACAATACCATTACACATAGCTTAATCCTAACCCGTGCCCTCACACAAGCCCTAACCCTAACAAATAGCCTCGCTATTAACACATATCCTAACACACACCCTAACATGTACAGCAACAAGTACCTAAACACACACTCTAAACCTTACAAGCATTCTAACATGACCCTTAACATACTCCAATGCATATCCTAACACATGCCCAACTCAAATCCTAAACCTAACATATTCTATAACACATAATCTAACATGTACTCTAAATCCTAACATGTTAGGTAAAAAGTATGCTAACACATACTCTAAACCATATGGGTACCCTTACATGAATCCTAACATGTACCCTGACACATAACCTAACCCTAACACATACTGTAACCACTAACATGTACCCTAACAAGTACCTTAACACATAGGCTAAACCATACAGGTATCTGACATATGCCCCAAACATACACCAACATATAAAATAACACTGTAACTCTAACATGAACCCTAACGGGTACACCAACATACACTCTGAGCCATACTTGCACTCTAAAAAGCCCACACCCTAACACACCCAAAGCCACTCACCAATCTTTAGCCCTACCCTAAACTGTTCAGTAACTCAAATTCATATGAAACCATATAACATGTTCAACAATCATAACCACTCCCAAAACCTAACACAGTAATTAACTGTAACTCTTACCCCTTTCCTAACAGGTCCCCTAACCATTACTTGTTCCATAATCTACTTCATAAAAAGTCCATAACCCTAACCCATCCCACAAAGTTCTTCCACATTCGTTACCTAACCCTGCACCTTTCCTAAACACTTATCCTAACACTTCCCCTAACAGAGTCCCCAACCTCTCCCTTTGTCTACCATGTTCTCTATTCACTTCCCTAACCCTCAACCTGACAT